TCCCCCCCTCTGCCCTGAGGCACCCCCCCCGCCCCAGCTCACCCCTGCTCCGCCTTCTCCCTGAGCATGCCGTGGCTGCTTCACTTCTCCCGCCTCCCAGGCTTGCGGCGCCTAAGCTGATTGGCGCCGCAAGCCTGGGAGGCGGGAGAAGTGAAGCAGCCACGGCATGCTCGGGGAGGAGGCGGGGCAGGGGTGAGCTGGGGCGGGGAGTTCTCCTGCATGCCGGCCCCCCCAACCGCCCCGCTGCAGGCGGCCCTCCCCGTGCTCCACTGCCCCAGCTCCCTCCGCCTAAATGCCGGTGGCGACCGGGGCAGCCGAAGATCCAGCCGTCGCGGTCGCTGCAGAAGAAAATGGCGCCCCCCAAATCCTAGTGTCCTAGGCGACCGCCTAGGTTGCCTAAATGGTTGCATTGGCCCTGCACGTAGGTCATTGAACAATCAGCAGCTGGTAGTAACTTTGCTCATTATCGGCTTAGGCTGGACTTGAACTGACAATGCAAGAGATGAAAGGTTCTACATTCCATTTAGAGCGGGTCAGAACTCAGAATTTCTGTTCCATGGGAAATGCTGACCCACCTGCCAGACTGCCCCAGGGCCAGGATCCCTGGAGCTTTCATGGTGCATAGCCCCCCAGCAGCCCCACCAAGCTTCCCCTGTGGAGACAGGAGCCTGGAAGCCCTGGGACACCCAGCTATTCACTCAGCTCTATTTATAATATAAAATACATTTCTAAGCAAAAAATCATTTTGAAATGAAAAATTGAACCATTCTGTTGTGATAAGGTCGGCATGGAACACATCAACCTTTTCAAAATACTCACCCTTTTTTTCCAAACAAAATTTAGTCAAAATCGACATGTTCCCATGGAAAGTTTTGATATCAACAATACGGCATTTTCCAATGGAAAAATGTTCCGTTCAAAATCATTCAGCCAGCTCTGGTCCTGTTACCATTCCTCTGCCATCCAGACTAGTGTCATGATTCACCTTTTGAGTGGAAAAAAACATGAGTAAAGTAAGTTTGTTCTTCCCTGTGTGCTCGTTGTCTCAAGCCCATGGGGAGGAACCTGTATTAGTCAATTAGATTCTCTCTCAGTCCTGCTTGTTTTCTACATTCTTTTATTGCCTTGCAATAACTTGGTATAGTCACCAAACTTTTGTGTTTCCTCCAAAGTGAATTTGATCGAGAGCTCAAGCAATAATTTGCAGATGTTTCCAACACACGATAGCTGGACTTCTTTACAATCCACTCCACATGCCAACTTGCTTTCAGTACCACATGCCAAGGGAACTGCCACTGCGGGTTCTAGGTAAGGTTATAGTGGAACCATAGATATTAGAGAAGGGACAAGCCCAGCAGTTTATCCTTCACTAGGATTAGGCAGCATTGCTTGGAAGCATGTGCAAGGGTTTAGAACTGAGGACTTTCTGACCAAGCCTAGCTCTGCCACCGCTTCATTGCATGGCCTTATCCAAATCACTTTACCTCAGTTTCCCAATCTGTAAAATGAAGACGACAATGTTTACCAGCAGGGTTTTGTGAGGCTTAAATAGTTAATCTTTGTGCTGTTCTTTGAAATGGAGAGCACTAAATAAATGGTAATTAGTATTATCTCCACCCTTTATCTAGTGCACAGTTAGTCCTTTCAGTCTATTATTATTTAACCTTTAAGAGAATACTTAGGGTACGTCTACACTACGAAATTAGGTCGAATTTATAGAAGCCGGTTTTATAGAAATCGGTTTTATACAGTCGATTGTATGTGTCCCCACATAAAATGCTCTAAGTGCATTAAGTCAGCGGACCGCATCCACAGTACCGAGGCTTCCCCCTCCCTCCGTGAAATCAACGGCCTGCTAAACCCAGGGTTTTGAGTTCAATCTTTGGGGGGGCCATTGTGTGTGACCGTTATTTGTGTTTCTCCCTGATGCACAGTCATCTTTCTTGATTTTAATTCCCTGTACCTGTAAGCCATGTTGCCACTTGCCCCTCCCGCCCTCCCTCCGTCAAACAATAGTTTCGCGCCTTTTTTCAGCCCAGACGCCATAGCATTGGGATCATGGAGCCTGCTCAGATACCGAAGCAATTATGAGCACTATGAACACCACGTGCATTGTCCTGGAGTATATGCAGAGCCAGAACATGCCAAAGCAAAACCAGGCGAAGAGGCGATTGCAGCACGGTGACGAGAGTGATGAGGAAATTGACATGAACATAGACCTCTCACAAAGTACAGGCCCCAGCAATGTGCAAATCATGGTGTTACCTGGGCAGGTTCATGGCGTGGAACGTTGATTCTGGGCCCGGGAAACAAGCACAGACTGGTGGGACCGCATCGTGCTGCAGGTGTGGGACGATTCCCAGTAGCTGCGAAGCTTTCGCATGCATAAGGGCACTTTCATGGAACTTTGTGACTTGCTTTCCCCTGCCCTGAAGCACCAGAATACCAGGATGAGAGCAGCCCTCACAGTTGAGAAGCGAGTGGCGATAGCCCTGTGGAAGCTTGCAATGCCAGACAGCTACCGGTCAGTCGGGAATCAATTTGGAGTGGGCAAATCTACTCTGGCGGCTGCTGTGATCCAAGTAGCCAATGCAATCAAAGACCTGCTGATATCAAGGGAAGTGACTCTGGGAAACGTACAGGTCATAGTGGATGGCTTTGCTGCAATGGGATTCCCAAACTGTGGTGGGGCGATAGACGGAACCCATATCTCTGTCTTGTCATCGGAGCACCAAGCCACCGAGTACATAAACCGCAAGGGGTACTTTTCAATGCTGCTGCAAGCCCTGGTGGATCACAAGAGACGTTTCACTAACATCAATGTGGGATGGCCGGGAAAGGTACATGGTGCTCGCGTTTTCAGGAACTCTGGTCTGTTTCAAAAGCTGGAGGAAGGGACTTTCTTCCCGGACCAGAAAATAACCATTGGGGATGTTGAAATGTCTATCGTTATCCTTGGGAACCCAGCCTACCCCTTAATGCCATGGCTCATGAAGCCGTACACAGGCAGCCTGGACAGGAGTCAGGACCTGTTCAATTATAGGCTGAGCAAGAGCCGAATGATGGTGGAATGTGCATTTGGACGTTTAAAAGCGCGCTGGCGCAGTTTACTGACTCGGCTAGACCTCAGCGAAGCCAATATTCCAATTGTTATTGCTGCTTGCTGTGCGCTCCACAATATCTGTGAGAGTAAGGGGGAGACATTTATGGCGGGGTGGGAGGTTGAGACAAATCGCCTGTCCGCTGATTATGCGCAGCCAGACACCGGGGCGGTTAAAAGAGTATAGCAGGGCGCGGTGCGCATCAGAGAAGCTTTGAAAACGAGTTTTGTGACTGGCCAGGCTACGGTGTGAAACTTGTTTGTTTCTCCTTGATGAACCCTCCCCTCCCCACTCTCCCGGTTCACTCTACTTCCCTGTAAGCTAACCACCCTCCCCTCCCCCCTTCGAGCACCACTTGCAGAGGCAATAAAGTCATTGTTACTTCACATTCATGCATTCTTTATTTATTCATCACACAATTAAGGGATAACTGCCAAGATAGCCCGGGAGGGGTGGGGGAGGAGGGAAGGACAAGGACACACTGCAGTTTAAAACTTTAACTCTTATTGAAGGCCAGCCTTCTGATGCTTGGGCAATCATCTCGGGTGGAGTGGCTGGGTGGCTGGAGGCCCCCCCACCGCGTTCTTGGGCGTCTGAGTGAGGAGGCTATGGAACTTGGGGAGGAGGGCTGTTGGTTACACAGGGGCTGTAGCGGCGGTCTCTGCTCCTGCTGCCTTTCCTGCAGCTCAACCATACGCTGGAGCATATCAGTTTGATGCTCCAGCAGCCGGAGCATCGACTCTTGCCTTCTGTCAGCAAGATGACGCCACCTATCCTCTTCAGGCCACCACTTGCTCTCTTCAGCCCGCGATTCAGCCTGCCACCTCTCCTCTCGTTCATATTGTGCTTTTTTGCACTCTGACATTGACTGCCTCCATGCATTCTGCTGTGCTCTGTTAACGTGGGAGGACATCTGGAGCTCCGAGAACATATCATCCCGAGTCCGCCGTTTTCTCCTTCTAATCTTCACTAGCCTCTGTGAAGGAGAAACATTTGCAGTTGGTGGAGGAGAAGGGAGAGGAGGTTAAAAAAGACACATTTTAGAGAACAATGGGTACACTCTTTCATGTTAAATTTTGCTGTTCACATTACACAGCACATGCGCTTTTGTTACAAGGTCGCATTTTTCCTCTTATATTGAGGGCCTGCCGGTTTGGTGTGAGAGATCATTCACACAGTGCCAGGCAACAGAATTCGGCTTGCAGACAGCCATGGTAAGCCACAGTCTTTTGGCTTTTTTAACCTTCATAACATGTGGGAATGGTTTCAAACAGCAGCGCCCTCATTTCCCATACCAAGGACACATTGGGTTGGCCATTTAAAATGGGTTTGCAATGTAAAAGGAGGGGCTGCGGTTTCCGGGTTAACATGCAGCACAAACCCAACTACCCCCCACCACACACACACCCAATTCTCTGGGATGATCACTTCACCCCTTCCCCCCACCACGTTTCTAACAGCGGGGAACATTTCTGTTCAGCCGAGCAGGAACAGGCACCTCTGAATGTCCCCTTAATAAAATCACCCCATTTCAACCAGGTGACCGTGAATATCACTCTCCTGAGGATAACAAAGAGAGGTAAGGAATGGATGTTGTCTGCAAGCCAGCAAACACCAGGACCATATGCTGCCATGCTTTGTTACGCAATGATTCCAGACTACGTGCTACTGGCCTGGCGTGGTAAAGTGTCCTACCATGGTGGACGGGATAAGGCAGCCCTCCCCAGAAACCTTTTGCAAAGGCTTTGGGAGTACATGAAGGAGAGCTTTCTGGAGATGTCCTTGGAGGATTTCCGCTCCATCCCCATACACGTTAACAGACTTTTCCAGTAGCTGTACTGGCCGCGATTGCCAGGGCAAATTAATCATTAATCATTAAACACGCTTGCTTTTAAACCATGTGTAATATTTACAAAGGTACACTCACCAGAGGTCCCTTGTGTGCCCTCAGGATCTGGGAGCACACCTTGGGTGAGTTCGGGGGTTACTGGTTCCAGGTCCAGGGTGATAAACATATCCTGGCTGTTGGGGAAACTGGTTTCTCCGCTTCCTTGCTGTGAGCTATCTTCATTGTCTTCATCATCATCATCATCTTCCGCGTACCCCGAACCTGCTTCCCTGTTGCATGATTCTCCATTGATGGAGTCATAGCACACGGTTGGGGTAGTGGTGGCTGCACCCCCTAAAATGGCATGCAGCTCTGCGTAGAAGCGGCATGTTTGCGGCTCTGCCCCAGACCTTCCGTTTGCCTCTCTGGCTTTGTGGTAGGCTTGCCTTAGCTCCTTAATTTTCACGTGGCACTGCTGTGTGTCCCTGTTATGGCCTCTGTTCTTCATGGCCTTTGAGACTTTCTAATATTTTGCCTTTTCGTTTACTGCTACGGAGTTCAGCTAGCACTGATTTGTCTTCCCATATGGTGAGCAGATCTTGTACCTCCCATTCGGTCCATGCTGGAGCTCTTTTGCGATCCTGGGACTCCCATCATGGTTACTTGTGCTGATGAGCTCTGCGTGGTCACCTGTGCTCTCCACGCTGGGCAAACAGGAAATGAAATTCAAAAGTTCGCGGGGCTTTTCCTGTCTACCTGGTCCTTGCATCTGAGTTGAGAGCGCTGTCCAGAGCGGTCACAATGAAGCACTGTGGGATAGCTCCCGGAGGCCAATAACATCGAATTCTGTCCACACTACCCCAAATCCGACCCGCAAAGGCCGATTTTAGCACTAATCCCCTCGTTGGAGGTGGAGTAAAGAAACCAGTTTAAAGGGCCCTTTAAGTCGAAAGAAAGGGCTTCGTCGTGTGGACGTGTCCAGGCTTAATTCGATTTAACACTGCTAAAGTCGACCTAAACTCATAGTGTAGACCAGGCCTTAGTCAAGGGAAGGAGAGGAGCGAGTGTGAGCCAGTACTTAGTGTAGGAATGGGAGTGAGGACTTCTGTGTTCTCCTTCCAGCAATAGAAAGGCATTTGATCCAGGGGCTATATAAATGGGACTGGATGATAGGACTCTTGAGTTCTGTGCCTGGTTTTGGTGATTGACCCCAGGAAAATCACGGCTGCATTTTTATAAGGATTCACTAATTGTGGGTTCCTTATTTTCTGGGTGCCCAGCCTGAAAATCCTGGCTTGATTTTCCGAAGGGCTGAGCACTTTCAACTCCAGCTGACATCAATGGGAGCTGCAGGTGCTCAGCAGCTCTGAAAGGCAATGTCTCCTTTCAGCACTTACAAATTCAGGCATCCCTAATTAGTGGACACTAAAACATTTTGGCCTTAGTCTCTCTGTGTAAAAGGAGGCTGATAATACTTGGCCTCACTGGGGCATTGTGAAGTCCAGTTCATAAGATGTTACAAAGGTATCAAGTATTGTTAACAGAGAAGTTGAAACATTTTGAATTTAGAAGTTTGGATGAGGATTTTAATTTTAAAATTCTGAAAGTCACTGGAGAAAACATTTTTAAAAAATGTCCTCTCCTTTGTTGATCAGCTGCAGAGCTGGTGGAACTATTTTCAAAATTTAGAACTATAAACCTTTTCAGATTTCAAAATTAGCTTCACATTTCCTCCCCTTTCCCCCCTTGCCCCAAACCAGCCCTAGTTCTTACTGGGTTTTCACATAGGAGTTGCCAATTGAGACCAGTGGCCTGTTGAGTCTGGTATGCTATCATGGACAGTAGCCAATACTGGGTAATGCACTTTACTTTGCCATATTGTGCCATGGGAGCGGGGGGGTGGGGGTGTTAATCTACTTTGAAATACCTCTTTAAGTTCTATTATGGTTTACACTGCTTCGTTCCAGCCACTATCCCTGTCTGTGGACAGTCAGCAACAGTGCCCTTAATGTTGCCAACCCGGGGAGTGACGTGAATGGCAGCGCTCCAGGCACGTTCCTGCGAGGTAACATCCCTTTGCCCACCACATCTGCCTCGATTCCTCTGCAGGGAGCAGCTGCCAGCAACATGGAAACACCAGGGGAACCCACTCTAGCCAGACTAGCTGATTCTGCCTGGACATCCTTGCATTCGTTTTAACAGGTGGGAAGCTCTTCAGGAATGTTCAGCAGGATCCAAGCAAGACTGACAGGACAAGAACACCTCCTATGATCACAGTACAGATTGGGGAGGGGACATGCACACAAGGAACCTATTTCAGCGATGCACCAGATTCCGCGATAAACCTTGCACTTCTCCATTTCCAAAGGAGCAATGAAAGATTGAGTCAAGAGCCCTAGTGCAAAGGAGGGGGACGAGTTAGAGGGGAGCTGGCTTCTTGTTGTACCATTCAGTGCTACAGCAGACGATGACTGATCCAAGTCTTTAGAGTCAGCTTTGCTTCCATGTCAAAGCAAAGGGGCCAGGGATTCAGGTCCCAATGGAACAGAAGTGGCAGCTGGGTATTTTAATGGGATTTCAAAGGAATGTGTATTGTAACTTAGGCCAGTCACAATTAGGTTGCTGGCAGGGACCTCATAACAACAACCAGAAACCATGACATCCTCATACAGTCCCTGAGCAGCGTTTTAAAGTGGAACTGCTGCCCAGAAATGCCCTAGTGTTTTTAAATACTTGTTTTATGAAGTTCTTAAAATTCTTGAAGCTAACTTCTAACTTGGAGGAAATTGCCTTCTGTCTCCCTAAGACACTCCCCTCTAGTTTCACCTGCGTAGGGTGGTATTCTTCCCTTCCTCTCCTACAGCTGTTGTGTAGTCTTTGTGTGCTATAAGAAAACCTAGCAAGGCTGCCAAAAAATTGGCTGCATTTCAGCATTGGTGAAGTGGTTCCTATACAGAGTTTGTAAAGTGATGTAAGTTCTTTAAATGTCATATATTTATTGTTTTTTTGAGCAAATAGTTACAAAAGAGAATATTAGAATCTTGCATTCCAACTTTGCTTCAGGGTGCAGACAGAGTAAAAATAAACCACAAATGAAATGATTTGGTTTAGTTTTACTGTCTTCACCAAAATAATAATAATAATAATAATAATAAAGCACCTCTCTTACTTTAGGGACCTCAGACAAAGTTCAAAACAATTCAACCAGCAGCAAATCTCAACCCAGAAAGGAACTGTCTGTTCCCAACTCTGCCCCTGACCTGCTGTATAACCTTGGGGCAGTCCCTTCCCTTCTCTCGCCTCCTTCCTCATTTTGCCTGTCATGTCTATTTAGATTGTAACTTCAAGGCAGGGATTGTCTTACTCTGGCTATGTACAGTGCCTAGCAAAATGGGGCTGTGATCTCGCGTGGGACATCTAGCTGCTAGTGTACTACTACTAGTTTCCCGCCCCCAGCAGACCGTCTCCCCCCACTTCCCAAACACCAACTTCCATCAAGTTTCTTCATACCCCAAAGCCTGCCTAAGGTCTTGCTCCACCCTGATACCAGCTCTTGGTGTAGATAGGGAAAGCCACAGCTCATGCTGTGCCATTTATGCTGCTTTCAAGCAGCAGTAAACTGCACCAAACTGAATTGCAATGTCCTTGAGTACAGGAGGGGCCTGTATTTGCGCAGCTGTAGCAATGCCAGTGAATGGCTAACCAGGGCATATACCCCCTGTAGACAAGGCCTAAGAAGACAGGCCTTGCAGCCGTCCCTGAAGGTCAGCAAATCTGAGATACACAGAGAAGAGTGTAGTTAGTTGACTGTCGCTTTAGAGGCGGCCATCTGTACTATGGATAAAAGGAAAGCACGACAGTCCTTAAATTCTCTTTAAAAACAGTAATCAATTCTTGTTGACTAATGAGAGGTACTGGATTAACAGCACTGCAGGCTTAAGTCCCCCCTGTAGCTACATAAGAGGCCAGGGCAGACCAGGCTTCCCCAGGACTACTCCACATTGGTGTGTCTGCACAAGTGTATCAACTGGTGTCAAATATGATGGTGAGTCTTCTGTCGACCGTGAATTGGACTGAAACCAGTCTCATTCAGGTACCCCAGGGCAACTGTTAGAGTGGAAGCATTTTCAGTCAGGCTGGCTGGTGTACAACTGACTAAGCTAAAGATGAAACACTCTGGTACCAACACCCCTGCACTGTCGCCTCCAGAGTCTCTCAATATTGCTGAGACATGTCATTTCCTCTCAGAACACTGTTCCAGTCAAGGCCATGCCCCAATCTGACTCAGCACTGCCATTAGTTTATTTGAGGTGGACCCCTTTGCCCTCAGAACTGAAATCATCAGGTTGCTTCACTAAGGCCACAAGCCAGCCATCAGCTAATGACTCATCATTACAAGACACTTGGTCAAACGGGAGCTAATGACTTTGGTAAAAGGTGATGAAATCTGTCACCCCACTCTAGTTTCCTGCAATTATCTGCACTTGAAGTGCCGATGAATGTTAGTTTTCATCTTTGTTTTCCAAATCCTCTTCAAAGCATGATAATTACGTTTCTCAGTGTTGTCCTCTTCTGGTTTGTAGACACTTAAACAAGTGGTTCTGAGCCCTTTTGATCACTGAAGCAGCCTCCTCTAGGAATAGGTTTATTGACTAACTTGTGCTACCCTCTGCTGGCTGTTCAGCTCTCCTTTTACAGCACAAAAGCTACATTGTGTGGTTATGGATATTGCAGAGGGTAGGGTGACCAGACAGCAAATGTGAAAAATCAGGATGGGGGTAGCGGTTAATAGGAGCCTATATAAGAAAAAGACCCAAAAATCGGGACTGTCCCTATAAAATTGGGACATTTGGGCACCCGAGCAGAGGGTAAAACCAGTGACTCCACAGTGTTACAGGATTTGCTGTTTTCCCCAAATAGTTAGATGACCAAGGATGAGTTCACACATCTTCTAACTTGCTATTTTTGCCAGATCCACATACTGGCTCTTGAGTCATTGAGCTGTGCTTTGGCTATGCTGTCACCATCACAAGAAGTTGTGCAAACTGCAGTTTTATTTCATTGATGTGGAAGCGGGGACAGAATGCAGTGAACTTCCCCATAGGTGCGTTAGCGCTACAGGACTGAGAGGAGAAAAAAATGGATCAGAGTGATTACATACGTAGGCCCACATCCACAAAAGGTACTTAGGCACCTAAGTCCCAAGGCTGGCTGCACTGTGATTCACAAAACTCCCACCAAATCCTGTAGGAGCCTAAACTTACTCAGCCTTTAAATTGCTGCCTCTGGGCATGCACATGGCTGCTTCCTTATCTCCCATCTAAGCCCCCAGGACCCTGCAAGGTGGAAGGGTCCCAGTCGAACATCTGTACCACAATCAAACAAACCTTTAACCTGAGCCCCACGACCCTGAATCAGGCATCATGGGACTGAGGTGCCATTTTCTAAAAAATGTAATATTTGGTGGAAGATAAGACCTGAGCCAAGCAGGGGGTATTTCTCTTTTACTTGGGAGATCTGGACAGTTTGTGTAAGGACATCAGTTTCCCACAGAATGGATTTTCCCAGTAGTACCAGCTGGGTTAAATGTGCCAGCAGGCGAAGTGTGTTATTCCTCAGGGAAATATTGTGCAAATGGGGAGAGGATTTTGAAGTGGCACTTGCTCTTAAAGGCAACTCAAGAGGAGAAGATGAACAGCCACAATTGGTCAGAACCTGAGGTCTACATCTTGTCAAGTGTTGCTGATGCCTGTGTGTGTTCTGCAGACATTCTGTCTTCTGCCGAGGTACAAAGGGATGGGTGCCCAGAATTTCCCAGAATGCATTCACCAAACATAGGCAGGCACGGCAGCATGAAAAGCATGGATATGGAGCCATGACTGACACATTGCTCTGTTGTGGGAACAGCTGTGTGGTGGCACAGTTCAGCCGCGCTTGTTGTAACTGGCTTAGATGAGCATGTCAGGACCTGGTTCCAGAAGCGTGGTTGTGTGGCATATTGAGGACTGTGTTGAAATTGCAAGCTATCACTTTAAGAGCAGGAGGGTTTCCTGGTCCTGCATCCAGCCTATGGAGCTCTGTAGGGAAGCATACGACCAGCAGTCAGTCTGTAGACAGCCAGCCTAGAATAAGGTGGAGTGAGTTGTGCCTCTCTGTTTTTAGGGAGCAGCCTGCTTTGTCTCCCTGCTCTGGTTTTGGTTTTTGTGTGGTGTTCTGAATTCTAAGAAATAAAGTAGTGTTACATTTCAACTTCCAGCGAGAACATTTGATGTTTTTATCCAACTTCTCTGTGCGGATGCTGTGAACACAACAGGTTGCACTTGTATTGTAGCCGGGGCTACAGAGGGAAGGTGTACCTAATAAATCATCTTTGTTTAGCTGCACGGTGCCCTCCACACCATCCTGGGTCATCTTCTAAGTATTGACCAAGATGGAAAAGCGCCAGCTATTAAGTCGCCAGCATCACTTCTAGCAGCACCTTGCTCTCCCCCCGAGCCTGTGACTCACTCAGAGTCCTTGTTTGTATCAGTTTGTAGTGTGTGCACTGTGCAAGTATTAACTCAACCATTGGTGATTCCTTGTTGCAGCCCTCTGCCCCTTTTCCCACTCTTGAGAGACATGGCTCATTAAACCCACACCATAAGACATTCAGTTCCTAAGTTCTCATGTTAATCATTTATTTTCCAAGACTAAACTTTTCTTTTTTGGGGGGTGGTGGGGTGAGACGGTTGAAGCACATGTTCCCATGGGCAGATGATTATTTATTTAGAGTCAGGGATACCGTGTTTATTGCAAGTGAGATGTTTATTTTATTCTCCCAGTGTGGAAATCTCCTAATTATCGATGGAGGACACGTAGAAGGAAACAAAGCGTCGCTAGGAACTCTGCAGTGCCGGAGTGCAGGCAGTGCTTTGTCTGTCCTTAGAAAGTCTCATTTTTTTACTTTATACTATTTGACAGTCTCTCAGCTTACAGTGTAATAGGGGAAAAGTGGTTCTGTGACGTTTTGGATTTGCCCATGACAAACAGGATACAGAATGTGCATGGAAACTAAAAGGCATTGTGGGGACAGCTGGAATACCAAAACACCTTGAATCAGACACTGAGGGAAGCCCTTCCAAAAAGCACTTGTTCTCTTTTTACCACCAAAGGGTCCTGTGGCACCTTATAGACTAACAGACGTATTGGAGCATGAGCTTTTGTGAGTGATGCATCCAACGAAGTGGGTATTCACCCACGAAAGCTCATGCTCCAGTACGTCTGTTAGTCTATAACAGGGGTAGGCAACCTATGGCACGTGTGCCGAAGGCGGCACGCAAGCTGATTTTCAGTGGTACTCACACTGCCCAGGTCCTGGCCACCGGTCCGGGGGGCTCTGCATTTTAATTTAATTTTAAATGAAGCTTCTTAAACATTTTAAAAACCTTATTTACTTTACACACAACAATAGTTTATATTATAGACTTATAGAAAGAGACCTTCTAAAAACATTAAAATCTATTACTGGCACGTGAAACTTTAAATTAGAGTGATTAAATGAAGACTCAGCCACCACATCTGAAAGGTTGCCGCCCCTGGTCTATAAGGTGCAACAGAACTCTTTGCTGCTTTTACAGATCCAGACTAACACGGCTACCCCTCTGATCTTTTTACCATATCATCTAAAACTCTAGGTGGTGCTCTGGCTCTAACTAACTGGGTGGCCCTTTAAAAATACCTTTGAAATGTTGCTTACTGATTGCTAAGCCATTTGTTTGTGTGACTTTTTTTTTCCTGTTGCAAGATTTCGTTTTAGAAAGGGATGAACATGGCCTGGACAAAAAATAGAATTTTAACTTCCTGATGATGAGAGGTTAGCAGAAATCACATTAAACCATAAGCCACAATATTTCAATATGGCATAAACTAGCCATCTGCTCTATCCATTTATTTGTACCGTGTTTGTCCCTGTGGTAAGTGAGCACCTATAAAATGCAATCCTGGTGCTGTTCTGAATAACTTCATGCTGGTCTGTCTGTACATATGTACAGAAAGGGTAATTGGGCCTTCAGAATGGCCAGACTTTAAATTGTCTTTGATTATGACGTACTGGGTGAAGGTGGTGCTCATATCATATGTAATTGGAGCGGTAGGATCATAATAGATATAGAAAAGTCCCATTACATGATGGAATCCATCCCCTGCTTGAGAAGATGACTGTCCCCCAAATCAATTTAATCATGACTTATAAGGTGCAGAATTTGCACTGTGCCCTCAGTTGAGAGGCTCAGAAGAATTAGGTTCTCTTTCTGGCTCTACACTGACCTGCAATGGGACTGTGGATAGGTCTTTGCCTTTGCTCCCACACCATTAGTCTGCTGTGGGTATTTAGACTGTGAATTCATCAGGACAGGGACTGTCTCTTACTGTGTGTCTGTACAGTGCCTAGTGCAGTGGGACTGTGAAATCAAGTGGGGCCTCCAGGCAGCTCACAGCAAATTAATAACAATGTAATAAGATATTAACTTTCTCCATATACTGGTAGTATGTGTGGAAAATAGTCTGTGTGTGTGTGTGTGTGTGTGTGTGTGTAGTATATATATATATATATATATATATA